CTCGCGTTAATCAGCGATAATGCGTGTGCGAGGTGCAATCAATTCGGTGCCCAATAAAACTGTTTTAATCGCTTGACAAGCGCAATACTCGCCGATCGGGCTGTAACAACGAGCGGTGGGTGGAGAATTGCTGCGTTCGTCGGGACAAAAATTATTGCCACCAACTAGGTTAAATGATATTCACCGTATTATTAAAATAAACCTCCCGTCGAGGTTCTATAGGCTATCGAATCATATTTAAATCGGCCCTCGACGATTTATCGAGAAATTTGCCTCTTTGCCCGCTAATGCACGCCTGAAATTCTGTTTCACTCCGTTCTCGCTGTAAAATCAGATTCGCGCGAATAATACGTATAAACAGGCGGTTAATCGTTTTCTTCACGTTCGAAACACGTACGAACGAGGAATTCTACACTCGAGATGTGAGAGTTCAGTGTCTCAAGGAGACATATTTACAGAGGGTGCAACTGGGTCAAGCGATCTCTGGTTATTATTGTGCAACGTGCTCTCTTGTCCGTTCTTTCGGATCTGCCGCGCGGAATTACACGGTCGTGGGCGTATCTCGCGTTTTATTAGCACGATTAAAAATTGAAATAACTGGAGGTAGAAATGCTTAGAATTTAGTGGCCGGGCTGGAGCTTGTTTGTTCCATTTGAAAAGGGGGCGGGGGGGAGGGGAGAGGCACTCGAGAGAGAGAGAGAAATATAGTCCAGGGGAGATACTTTCCTTTGAAATATCCAATCTTCGTTCTCAAACACGCTTGCTTTAATTAGCAGACGGAGCAAGATGCTTTTCAACAAGCGGGAACGGTCCATTTGCTACGCTTTCATAATTTTGAATTTAGAAATTTCATCCTTTCTTTAATCCCGCTTTTCCCTTTTAACGAGACTTAAATCTAGATAACAAGTTTCTCAGAGTCTTCTTGATTATAACGAATGAATTATAACGAATGTATGCTTTTGGTTTATAACGTGTTTTTATAACGTGTAACATCTACAGTAATATCTTCGTAATAAGAATGAAAGGATTTCAGAGGAAATTTCCAAGGACACTGACATTGAAATAACTCAAACTAAATACTTTTTACCAACTTCTTACGAAAGTTTATAAACACAGTGGGGGAAATTGTTTTTCAGAAGATTGAAAGTATGCATCATCAGTTTCTATATACTTGGAAATACATGTTAAATTCCATGCTAAACATTGCACTTGAACAAGATGTTCATTACGTTCGTTGCTTTGCGTACAAGGTTACAAACGATACGAAAATAATTTCCGAGGGCAAAGAGTTAATAAAAGTTTCGAGATGAGAAATATTCCATCGATAATAGGCAAATGACGACAAACTCTGTAACCTCCGAACCAAGAATCAGAGACGCGATATCGTTCGAACAAACAAAAACAACACTGCCCGTAATACTTCTAAGAATTTACCTAATCCGCGAAATTAAACACATAAGTCATCGAAGCTTCGGTATCGACAAACAAACAAAAAAAAAAAAAAAAAAAAAAAAAAAAAAAAAAGAAACAGAAAAAAAACCGTCTGAGACGAAACGATGTTTCGTCGATAACACAGAAATTGCGACAATGAAACTTTGGCCCGATTTATCGAGTCACTCTCGATTCTCGACGAATCTTTACGAATGGCCGCGCGTAACACGCTCCGAGCGTCGCCTGATAAGAAACCGTAGGCGCTGATAAAGTGATCCGTTGCTCGTTCGGGAGCCTCGTGGCCGAAAAGGAGAGCCTCCTCTCACGGGAGGCGTCGCTAAAATAATTCAGGACTCCCGAGGCGAGATCAGCCTCGTCGGCCTCGCCCCCGCGCGAGCATTCCACGAGAGGATCTACGAAAATACGATTCCCGGCAAATGTCTACTTCGTTACCGGCTCGCTATAAATAGAGGCAAACGGCCTTGGTCAACCTTCCACGAGAGTTCGTCGACACTGGTGGTAACCTCTCCTCTAGCCGCCGACCAAAGAAGCGAAATTTCTGTCGTCCAGCGATTCCAAACTTTCAACCCTTTCGAGCTGCTTTTTTGCTTTTCGTTGGAACGTCACGCTGAATTATTTTTTCAGCTGTAAAAAAAAAAAACAAAAGCAAAAGCAAGTGTAACGAAACAAGAGCTTCTTGGTTGCTCTCTTTACATCGTGTCTTATCGTAAATATTTTATCATGTAGGTATTTAAACAAAAGATTTTAAAGTTTGATAACGATCTTTAATTTTTTCCTCGTCATCAAGTGATTCAGTGTTCATGTTTAATCGCTTGCGCTGGCAACTGACTGCGGACCGTAACGAGTGACCAAACCGTTGTACAATAATTCGTCGCTTTCTTTTTCTTCCGAACTCGTCGGTACGACATCGCTGGATAGAAATTATTGAGAAGTGATAAATTTATTATTTGTTTTCCCTATTTTGCTTCTACTAAAATGTACTTAAAACTGAGGAAATATTACAATTTTGGGACAAAAAAATTCTCGACGTGCGTGGCACGTTACTCCAGCGCAAGAGGCTAATAGCAAGTGCGAGCTTTCTTTTATTATGTGATGAGTATACTCGTCGTTAAACGAAAAAAGAAAAAAAGAAGAAAAAAATTATATTCGACATAAATATCGGAAGAATCAAGACCATACTTGGATTACGCGATTTTTATTCTTTTGTTCTTTTCTAAATCTCCCCCCATTGTTTCGTATTGGGAACAAGTGTTTCACGTTATAGTGAAACGAATTATGGCAATTTGGTTCTATTCCATCTAATGTAACAATACGATGAATCTCGTTTTTACACATTTTATCACGAAACGCATATAAAAGTTGTGCAACGTTTGAACGACGCAACGTAAATTAATTTTCTTCCTCGCCGATAGAAATGATTACGCCGTGATTGGAGAAACAGTTACTCAAATTGTCGGCTGAAGATGATCAAATTGAAATCGTGTATCAATCGGCAAGTGAAACAGCGAGAGGAATTGCGCAAGCCGCGTGAAATCAAGCATTAAAGATCATTCGAGTTTTTGTAGATGAAGTTGAACTGTGTCAATCCCAGCTTATTTGCGCATCTGTTCGAGCCGAGGCTGCGATTTGGTGTGATTTCATAGATTCGGTAATAGTGGTTTAACCCGTTCGCAGGTTAGGCGAGATACAGTATAACGACGCGAGGTAATTTTGTGCCTGATTTTACAACACTAGGGGAATATCCTGTGGTTACTTCGCTACTGACACTAACACTCGCGTTATAGATGAAACGACGTAATAACGTTACATCTAACATGTTGCAACAGAAACGAAAATTCAGAAATTGAATGGAACTTTGTCGAGAGTTTGTCTCGTTGGAGGTTAGCAGCCAGCCTTGCATTAAAACGAACAGACGATCGAAATTGATCGTTAATTATCAATTGATGTTAATTGATGTTGATTACCTGGGTTATCGGCGATCGCCGATTTTACATCCGGGGTTTCTTATACCGTGGACGTGAAATCGCCATATACGAAATATCTGGTAGATAATAAATCGATTGGCGAGGCATTGAATAAATTGGCGAGATAAGCCAAGGTTCGTTATACTCTTCCATTCCTCGTCGATCGATACGTCGATACGCGTCCAGGAATCCGGAGATCGAAAGATACAAGAGCCGGCCAAGATATCGAGAGCTCCGTTTCCCAGCATACTTCCCCGAACGCTAAATACGCGACACTAAAACTGGTCGCGAACTGGAGACTACCTGGCCGAGGGAATTCCAACGCGAGAAGAACCCTTGATGGCAGAAGAGCCATCGATGGCTGATCGTTCCCGTCATTTGGTCGCCTTATGACTTGGAAACTAAAACGTGAAGACAGAGTCGAAGACCAAAGCTCGAAGATGTTCAAACAATTTCCTATTTGGAACAGATTCGTTTGTGTTCTATAAAACATTTCCAGAGATCGTAACGATCTTATGATGGTTGGTTAAATTCGAATTTGAATTCAACCGTGTTGTCAAAATGAGTCTCGCTGAATAATAAAGCTCTCGTGACTGTTTAAATACCTCTCTGTTATCTCTACTTGCATTAAACATGTCAATTAATAAAATATACAACACGTGTAATAAAAAGTCCCTATATGTTTGAATATCTTCGTGAGCAACTATACATACGGGTAGTAATTTTCACGAGCGATATTCGTTACAATATTACACGAGAAAACATGTTTGTGTTTTATAAAATATTTTTAGATCATTGCGACGATGGATGTGGAAACATATTTATTAGAGAGATGTGTTTAATAAAAGCAATGAAATATAATTGGAAATCTCACTGAATGAAATATGTTTTCTCCATGAAAATGTATAATCGTATTAAACACTCTTGTTTCAAACTTGACCACTATGATATCACGACAATCGGTATTCTCCTTACGATATTAATAAAATATCAAAATAGCCGACAAAAAGTTCCTACGTGCTCGAATATTTTCGCGAGCAATGTTCGTTTTATTTTAAACAATATTTAGCGAGTGAACGCAATGAATTTGCATAAACATTCGCTGGGGAACTTTATCCGCCAGGAAACTGAAACGACAGGGGGCCGAAAAAAAAAAAAATTTACCGTATACGTGTATTCGTTTAATCCGGGAAACCGCGATGCGTTACAGCAAAGCCAGCGGCCGCAACGAACGGAGAGGGGGAGAAAAAAAAAAGTCACGAAGACGAGGTTGTCCGCGTTACCTCGAGCCTGTAATCAATTTCCCTGGTGAATTACGCGACACGTGGAAACTGTGCCGTGGTAGAAGGAGAGACACGGACGTCGAAAAAAAAAAAAAAAAAAAAAAAAACGATTGTCGATCGAGCCGTGCATCGAGATCTGTCGCGCACATCTCGATTTCCAGCGACGCACAGTGACGCGAGAAACACGACTAATAATCGCGCGCGAGTCGAACTCATTAACGACCGAGCATCGAACAGAGGGAACGCGCGAGATTTGAAAAAAAGAAGAAAAGGAAAAGCGTAATCGTTTTGTAATAATCACCTGTCTCCGGAGACGCGAGCGAGCGAGTCAGAATCGGATGCAAGCTGGGATATTCTTCTCCAAACGACGTCGAAAACACTTCCTTTCTTCTTCTTTTTCTTCTTCTTCTTCCTTATAGCGATTCGAAAAGTTTCTCACGGTCTTTCCGTTTCGTCGTTCTCGTCCGACTCTGTCGTTTTCGCCTCGACGAAACAACGAATCGTTCCGCGTATCGGATCGCCGTTGTCACTTCGCGGAACACACGCGGGTTATCGAACGACCTGACCGACGTCTGCACCCTGTATCACACATATAACGCACTCTCTTTCTCTCTCTATCTATCTTTTTTTTTTTTCTCTCTTCCTCTATCTATCTATCGAGCAAACAGCACTACTCCGATAATCGTATATCAGGCGCGCGCGTGTGCTTTTCACGGCGATCTCTCAATCGCCCATGGTCGCGCGTATTATTTTGCTCTGAAAATCTCCTCTTCCCTCCCACGAGGACGTTTCGTCGCTGGCAAGAGACGAAAGGTTTTTGTCGCCTTTGGACGAATAACCTGTTTAACCAGAGACACCGCTGTGATTTTTGGCGACTCGTTGGTCCCACGAGTAAAGTACACTCCTCTTTCTATCTCTCTTCGTCGAAAGCTCCCTTATCTCGTTGGCAGTGATACGATCTCGTGGCCGCGAAACCTCGAGCACGCGGACATGTGCGTACTCCGGACCTGAGTCACGAACCACTCGGACGCAAAGTGAACGACACACTCCCGCGCGACGTAGCAACACGACGATCACACAACGTAATACAAAAACGAATAAGCTGAGAATATTTCGGTGGTTGAGTTATTAGCGACTACACGCGAGGAAAAAAACCGGCGTAGTCGTCAGACTTTCGATCTCTGTGGCTGTATATATTCTCCGTTAGTGTTTAACGTCGACCATCAGGTCTGCATCTATGCATTCGAGGAACACAATGGGGCACGCGATACGATCGATAACCGTGTCGTAGATCGCGTATCGTATCGAGATTCAGCGGTAACAGCCGTCAGGGACGGACGCGGTGCCAGCCAGCCTTGCGGTGCCACGAAGCTAGAGATTGTCAGTGTCGTGCTAATCGCCAGTCTACTTCTCCTCCGGCGTATCGCGAGTATCTCTCCTCGCCGGAAGAGAGAAAGAGAGAGAGAGAGAGAGAGAGAGAGAAAGAGGATGAATCCTCTCGAGGAACTTCCGTTTCCGATTCTACCTCGTGCGTGCGCCTTCTTGAACACACGAGCTGTTGCACGTTCGTAGCCTTCGAAGGTCGGATCCCTCGGAGAATCCGCGAGGAACGCGGCGCTTTTTCCCGCGAATCTTCAAGAATCTCACGTTTTTCACTTCTCTCGGAAAGATTCGCGTCACATTCGTGTGTCGCCTGGTCTCTCTCTCGTTCACGTTTTCACCGTGTTTTCTCACGCAGCTTCACCTCTCTCGACGCGTCTCTCGACGACCTCTCGGCAACGATGACGATGAGACGACGCTGCTGAGACGACACACTCGCGCGCGATCGCGTCCGCCGGAGCACTGACACGATTCACGGATTCCACGAGTGACTGCGGCCGCACACACGAGTCGACTCGAGTCGAACGACTTGGCCGGCGCTCGGCGCGGCGACTCGTGGAGCCGAGCGGAGCCGAGCGGAGCCGAGCGGAGCCGAGCGGAGCCGAGCCCCGACGAACCGTTTCTTCGCGCTGACGGTGGCCGCGAGCCGCGCGCACTGCCGCTCCGACCGCTCGCCGTGTCGCAACGCGTTCCTTCACCAACAAGCAACCCCTTTGCACCCTCAGACACGAGCCTCTCGGTTCGCATCGTCGTGACAAGCCAGTAAGACAGTTGATTCTGCAGACTTTTTTGCAACACGGAGCAGACCGTAACGCGACTGAAAGTGTCTGTTTTCTCGGTTTGGTGACTTTGGCTAGATAGTATTTGCAAAAGTGATTTCGTGGCTGAGGGCAGAGACAGAGACAGAGCAAAGGGTGGTCGACGAGCTTTGGTACTTCTTTGGGCGGGATTCTGACAATGAGGCCGAAGAAAGAAGACGGTTGAAATTTTTCTCTTTCGCGAGAAGTGGAGTATCGTGGAAACGTGAACGACCAAAGGTTCTCTTTATTTTACCACGAGATCTTTGACAGAGGAGAGATTTTTACGAAATGAGGGCATAGGAGGTGGATTATGATAATGTTAACGGAACACAAGTGAGATACGGATACGAAATCGGATTGAAGAAGTGTTGGACCTAGGAATTTCGAAATCAGACGAACGTAGTTTGAAAATTCATATTGTCAAATTTTATGTATGAATTGTCGTAATTTTTCACTCACGCTCGAGTCAAATGCAACGTTGTAGCGTCAAAGTACGTATTGACTCGGATATCGGATTCGTTGCCAACAGATATTTATTGAAATTCCAATTTCACCTGTTAGTTAGTGTTCCTTCCACTCGACAGATTACAAAATCGTGAATCATCAACCTCGATGTCACGTCAAATCATGATCGAATTTTGCCTGTCGATTCGCAACTGAAAGAATTTCGAAAGCTTTTCAGAACGTCACTTAAGAAAGCCTATAAAATCTCTTTCCACGTAATTTTTTTGTAAGCGCGAGGAATTTCATTTTTACGCGTCGTCGTTCCATCACAGAGCATGTACACGAAGACCACATACCATGTTACATTATATCATGTTATATTACATACATCTTGTGGTAAATCTTCATACCTAATGTGGAAAATTGGGAAATTTTTCAAGTTCCACGTCAAGATAGACTCCTGATTAAAATAACTAAAAACTGTAAAAAGTTTAGTGAGACTTTCCAATCTTCCAAGCTGGTCGAAATTTCTAATTTTCTCCGAATGTAATCCCGCAGATTGCAACGTAAATTGTATTTTTAACGATTTCGATCATTTTTATGAGATACACGAATAAAATCTTGTGTCTTTGTATACTACAAACTTTGCACTCCAATTTCTTCGATATGATCTTCATGCTTTAGTCATGTAGATAGTATCTAATGTTAAAAAAAAAAAAAAAATACAAAGACACAGTCCACTTCTTTCACGTTTCGCCTTCTTCGATTAAACGTCCGATGGAGGAACAGATCGAACATCGTTGATGGCACGACGAGTGAGATTCCTAATGCTGTGTTCAAGTGTGCAAGAACTCGACGAAGATCGGTCATCGAACTTCGACACGGTTCTGCCAGGGTCTTGGGGGCTCAATTTACGTTCAGTCGCGAGAGCAGCCGACGCTCCAACTTCGAATTTACATTCAAGTAAATTGGAATGCGGTATCCGGCGCGGAATGCACGGAGCATGCCGATAGTGAGACGACGGTGTTTTCGCGATGAGAACCGTCCCCCGAATGGCTATCGAACACCCTGGCAACATTATTGATATGCTAACTGGCATCGGAACTGTCACATAATTTGTCTCTGTTGGTCGGTGTCTGGCGGTTACCAGTCGAGTTGTTCACCGTCGAGCAAAAGTATTATAACAGTATACATTCGGTTTCCCTCGTGTTCGAGGTCTACGCCGACTTCAGGAACTTTGCGTGAATTGAATGACCCGAAGGTTTAAAGTAAGGCTATCAAACTGGTCAAGAAATTGACCAATTTCTAATTTTCTACGGATATTTTACGTATTTTCAGATATTCGAGTGATTTTTAATAAAATTTATTAACAGAAGACTGCGCTCTTTGTATTATCAATTTCTTTTCTTGTACTTTGCACTTTAATTTCTTTGCTACGAATATTATACCATAGTCGTCGATAGCTCTAGGTGTTAATATTATAAGGAAATTGAAAATATAGTAAAATATGTATTCCCAAGAAATATGTGGTCAGTTCAGCATTCCGAGAGTCTTTCGATTTTCCAGAAATATTCTGGAAATATTTTAGAAATATTGTAAATATTAATATCTTATTCTAGAAATATTCGATTTTATTAATATTTCATTCTAGGAATATTCGATTTTATTAATATTTTATTCTAGAAATATTTCAGATATATTTAGCTAATAAAATGAACACCTCGAAGTTCTTTCGAATTTTCGTCCAACGTTTCAAGGACGAAATCGAAATATATCATTTGGCAAAAAAAAAGTAAAATATTAAAGACATCGAGCTGTCTTTCGACTCGGTTAAAAAAGTGAATAAATCATTAAGCAAATAAGATTGAAATATCACAGGAGACGAAAGTTTTCGTCTCTGGCAGCGTATAATGACATAATACGATGATGAAGGTGGTTAATAAAGCGGTGAGAAACGTTTCATGAAGTGGGTTAATTGTCCGAGTATAAATTACGAGGAGCCGATCGATCATCGAATTCGATTACACAATTAGCCGGACAAACTCGGGCTCCGTTCGCCACTTCAAAACTTCCGACCCTCCAACTTCTTCCAGCGAGCTAAAGTGCACGCTCCATTTTAAGTTACGAAACTGTTTTCGAATACGGCTCGCCATTGATTATTGATTCCCAGCTTGCGCCGCGTACCGAGAATATTAAACCCGAGAATTCCGAGGCAGTTATTTATTAAACAGAGAATCTCTGTTCCAATGTGTCTCGGGCTTAAATATCGAACCAAACAGACGTTTCGAACGAGGAAACAGATCCAGGATCTGATTAAAATACAAATTTTCTTATTTTCTTAATAAAATACGAATATTTTCTTAACAAAATACTACAAAATATAATAATATAATAATATAATCTTAATAAAATTCCGCTTAATTTTTCTAATTTAGATCCAAGATCTGACAAGGTGCGAAAGATCGGTTCTCAAACCCTTCGTCGTTTCATTCGCAAATTCGCTTCTCACTTCGTAATCGGTCGCTCTCGACTTTGAACGAACTTCAACAATTGATTCCAAAATTATTAAAAATTCAAGCGGCAAAACTATTCTCACCTGAAGGGAAACAAGTGACGAAAAATTCGCCGAACGCAGGTAACATCTCGAGTCGTATCATCGTGGAAAAGATTTTCCTCTCTGCTTGGGAAAATTCACGCAAGAGGCTGGCCTGATTTCGCCGCGTTGGATATCAATTGCGAGTAGGATCCATGGTAACAAACGCTGATAAAAGGCTCGGGCGTTGTGCGGCGGGTAAAATGGTGCAGGAAAATTCGTGAATTATATCTGGCTGACAAAGAGCGGAGGGGGGCGGAATTCTTGGAAACGGTGAATAGACGACCAGCCGTCGAATTTCATTCATATCGCATAGGACGCTTTTCACGCGCCGCGTCCCTTTGTCAGCCCCTCCCCCTCCTCTCCTCATGGGGTTGATCTTGATTTTGCATTAACGCGAATCGAAGTGATGCGGCACCGATGCTCACGACGGCGAAACTTGCGATCCACCGGCGGCCCTACCCTATTGAAAATCCTGCCGCGTCGCTGCAATGCGGTTTTCCTTGATAAATAAGCCGTTGCATCGACTTGTCGTTCATAGACTCCGTTGCCATAGTCGCTGCCGTGAATAGAAGTAAATGGATACACCACGATCCGGTGGTTATTAGCGTCTAAGTATGTCCCAGATCATCTAGCTTGCGGTAAATTCGTCTCTGGAGACTGTTGTTTCACGACGCGAAAAGATTTTTATAACGAAAACGCGTTTCTTTTTTTCTTTTTTTTTTTTTTTCTTTCACAGATTTGTACGTTTCTGGGATATGAAAGTTTAAATTTTATTTAACTGAATTTTGATTGGAACTCGATGTGAAGAATTGCGCGTAAATATTTCCCGCGTCACGACGTTTCAAGCAAATTGATTTTCGAAGACTTTTGGAGAGGATTTCATATAACGGGAATACACTTTTCAATTTTAATTTTACTCGTTTCGATTGGAAACAACGATGAATCGCGTTTAAATGTTTCCTGCGGCGCGAAGGATTTTGAAGGGAATTCGTTTTCGAAGATTTTTACAAACACGAAATGATTTCATAACGGGAACACATTCTTTACAGATTTATATGTTTCTGTGACGTTCAATTTTAATTTTATTCTATCGGAACGATGAAGAATTGCGTTTAAATATTTCCTGGATCACGGAGTTTAGAGAAAATTCGCTTTTTGAGGAAAGTTTCAGGACACGAAATGATTTCATAACGGGGACACATTTTTTGCAGATTTATATGTTTCTGTGACGTTCAATTTTAATTTTATTTTATCGGAACGATGAAGAATTGCGTTTAAATATTTCCTGGATCACGGAGTTTAGAGAAAATTCGCTTTTTGAGGAAAGTTTCAGGACACGAAATGATTTCATAACGGGGACACATTTTTTGCAGATTTATATGTTTCTGTAACGTTCAATTTCAATTTTATTTTATCGAAACGATGAAGAATTGCGTTTAAATATTTCCTGGCGTTTCACGGAGTTTAGAGAAAATTCGCTTTTTGAAGAATGTTTCAGGATTTCGTACAAAAGGATTTCATAACGAGAACACGTGTCTCTTATAGATTTGCTTGCGATTGAAGTGCCGAATGTCACTTTAATTTCATTGGACCAACGAAGAACGACGTTTAAATATTTCCTGCGCCACCAAGTTTAGAGGAAATTCGCTTTTCGAAGACTTTTGGAACACG